CTGCCACCCCTGCGCTCTGAGCTGCCATCCCTGCACTCTGAGCTGCCATCCCAGCACTCTGAGCTGCCATCCTTGCACTCTGAGCTGCCATCCCTGCACTCTCCGCTGCCATCCCGGCGCTCTCTCCACGCTCCAGGTTTTTCCCAGCTGGCTGGGAGGCCCCGGGGACAGGGATGAGGGCTCTGTCTCCCCTGGATGCGCTGCCAGGGCTGTGGCACGGCCCCTGTTATGTAACTCGGCCTTTTTTCCCTGCTGATTCATCGGCGAGGCCGGATGGGCAGCCACAACACGGCGGGATTTCTGGCGGCTCAGTGCTGGGCACAGCTCTGCTGGGCTGGGCTTAGCTTTTGTTTTTGGGCTGTGGAGTGGCTGTAAATCAGCCCAGTCATCCCTGACACTGTTCCCATCCCTGGGAATCGCAGCTGATCCCAGCCCTGTCAATACCTGGCCGTGCTTGGCCAGCTCTGTGATTTGAGCCAGGCTTTTTAATCCAGGTTTAATTCAGTTTTCTCTCAGTTTAACCTCAGGGAGATTTGTGGGCTCTGATTTTAGCCTGTCATTATGTGAGAATGCTGGGTTTTTCCCTGCTTCCAGGGCACACCTTGCCCTTCCTGGAGACTCTCTGGGTGGGGGGAAAGGGAATTATAAATGATCTGCAGAGGCCTGGCTTGCTCTCTGCTCCCAACTCCCCCCCACAGATCATTCCCCAGGCCCTGAACCACCGAGACAGGTTTATCCATCAGGGTTTCTGTGTTCCATTTTTGATCCCAGTGCTGATAGCCTCCTTCCAGGAGGATTTTAGAGCTGCCAGCAGCTCTGTCCTTGCTTTTTTCCCCCTCCTCTCCCAGGTGCCACTACCAGCCTGACAGCAGGGACAAGTGTGGAGTCACTCCCTTTATGGACGCAATCCAGAACGGGCACCTCGACATCGCCCGGATGCTCCTGGAGAAACACCAGGTGGGTGCCAAAAACCCCTGCCCTGCCCCCTCCAGCACCTGCCCCAGAACTGCCAGGATGGGAAAGAAGAAAATTCCCAGATTGTAAAGAAAGGAATTGTGGAGGAAGGCAGATTCCCCCTGGAGATGAGGACTCAGCTCCAGGTGAAGATCTCCCCCTGGGGCAGGAATCATGGAATCATGGAATGGTTTGGGTTGGAGAGCCCTTGAAGACCATCCAGTTCCAACCCCAACACCTTCCGCTCTCCCAGGGTGCTCCATCCTGGCCTTGGGCACTTCCAGGGATCCAGGGGCAGCCACAGCTTCTCTGGGAAGTGTGTGTGTGCCCGCAGCTGGTGAAGGGAGATGGCACTTGGAATACCAGGACTCAGTGTGGAGCCCCCCATGGCCATCCTGAGGGTGGATAACACGGACACATCAGTCCCTGTGCCATCCCATGGCCATCCTGAGGGTGGATAACACGGACACATCAGTCCATGTGGCCATCCTGAGGGTGGATAACACAGACACATCAGTCCCTGTGCCATCCCATGACCATCCTGAGGGTGGATAACACGGACACATCAGTCCATGTGGCCATCCTGAGGGTGGATAACACGGACACATCGGTCCCTGTGCCATCCAGAGCTCAGCCCTGGCCTCCCAGGCAGCTGCTGCTCCCGTGCTGTCTCCTAGGAATCCAAGGCAGGGATGTCACTGGAGCCAATTGTGCGTGGCAGGAACCACCCCCTGCATTATTTATTGATCATTTATTGATGGCTGAGCCATCTGAGCTGGCTGGGGCCCCCTCAGGGCTCATTCCCACGGGCTTGGGATGTTCCCTTCCGGTTTCAGTCTCACATTTCAGGCTCTGAAGGTGGGAGAGTTGATTTAATTCCCTGAATTAACCTTAGTCATGGAGCAGCACTGGAATCACTGCAAGGGTTGATGCCTCCCAGGTTTTATAAAGCCCTGAATCACCCCTAGCCCTGAAGAAATTGTGTGTTAATTCCATGACTTTCCTGAATTCCAGGCGTGTCCCACAGCCATGGATGCCCTGGGAGCTCAGGCTCTGCACAGGGCAGCTGTGACAGCCCAGGATGGCTCCATCCAGTTCCTGGTGTCCGAGCTGGGGGTGGATGTCAATGAAAGAGCCACGTCCCTGCGGATCCCAGCCCTGCACTACGCGGCCAAGGTTGGTCCCTGCTCCCAGAATCCCTGGAAAAGCCTTTGCCAGGCGCCTTCAACAGCCTGGGTTGGGGGGGGTGGGGGGGGGAGTTGCATTCCTGGCTCATCCTCTGTCCCTGTCCATCTGCTCCTGGGCACTCCCATTCCCTGTTTCCTGGGAAGCAAAAGCAGCGTGAGCAGCAGGGGAGGGGGAGATTCTCCCTCTCTTGTGAGATCCCACCTGGAATACCATGTCCAGCTCTGGGGTCCAACATCAGAACGACCTGGAGCTGCAGGAACAACTCCTGAGAAAGCCATGGAGTTGTTCCAAGGGCTGGATCCCTCTGCTCTGGAGCCAGGCTGGGACAGCTGGGCATGTTCATCCTGGAGAAGAGAAGGGTCCAGGGAGACCTGAGAGCCTCTTGCAGGGCCTAAAGGGGCTCCAGGAGAGCTGGAGAGGGACTGGGGACAAGGGATGGAGGGACAGGACACAGGGAATGGCTTCCCAGTGCCAGAGGGCAGGGACAGATGGGAGATTGGGAAGGAATTGCTGGCTGGGAGGGTGGGGAGAGGCTGGACTGGATTTCCCAGAGAAGCTGTGGCTGCCCCTGGATCCCTGGAGTGTCCAAGGCCAGGCTGGAGCAACCTGGGCTAGCAGAGGATGTTCCTGTTGGACCCTTCCCAGCCAGGCCATTCCATGATTCCGTGCCTGTGTCCAGCTGTGCAGGGAGGCAGGAAGGGAGCCCTGGGAAGGCGGGGGCAGCTCCCGGTGCTTATCGGTGTCCTTCATCCCGGGGCTGGTTTGAATTCCAGGCAGGGAGAATCCTTGGAGCTTTCTCCTCCTCCTGCGTGGGAAGCAGGGCCTGATGGGCTGGGAGTCCTGCAAAGCAGATCCCAAAATGCTGCTGCCCAGGATCCCGAAATCCTGCTGCCCAGGATCCCAAAATGCTGCTGCCCAGGATCCCGAAATCCTGCTGCCCAGGATCCCGAAATCCTGCTGCCCAGCATCCCGAAATCCTGCTGCCCAGGATCCCGAAATCCTGCTGCCCAGCATCCCTCCCGCCTGGAATTTTTGCTCCATGCTTGGCAACTGGCAGCCAGGGAATATCCCTGCCCGGATCCTGGGATTTTGAACCAGGCTGCAGCACCCAGAGCCTGGGGTAGCCCTGCAGTGGGAATAGAGCAGCATCCCAGTAATCCTGCAAACCCCTCCGTGGCACTCAATCCCTGGGAATGCTGGCAGCGGGATCCAGCCGGGCCATTGCAGCTCCCACAAAGGAGCCCTTTCTCCCGCTGCCCTTCCCTCCTGCTCCCACAAAGCCCTCCTGGTTGCCAAGGGGATGTTTTTTGGGAATACAATGTGCCTTGGAGGAGATCCCAGCTCCCTCCTGGCTGATTAGGGGAAGGCTTGGATGGCATTCTCTCCCTTGCCCAGTGTCACTTTGGATTTACACTCTCATTTCTTTGGTTTTTTTTTTTCCCCTTTATCCTGCTTTTTTTTTTTGGTGTGTTTATTAAACACACGAAAATCGAATTACGGGGTTGGTTTCTTTTTTTTTCCAACTCAACTTGCTGCCCAGGCTGTGGCAGCTGGAGCAGTTCCTGGCTCCAGGTTTTTGCCATGGAAAAGGGAGAGGGCAGCAGGGAAAGGGGAGCCCTGGGTCTGGGAAAGATGCTATGGAATCCTGCGGGAATGAGGGAGAGGAGTGGGTGGTGGGGATAAAAAAGAACTTTCCACTCTCATCCTGCACGACAGAGATTAATTCATGGCATTGAAGAATTCCAAGATCAGGCACGTTATTTAGGGAGGGAGGAGGACTGATTTATGGAGAGGGGGAGGCTGTGCTGTGTTTTTGCCCTGTGGAGTCTGGAATTGGCCCCGGGCAGAGGGAGGAGGGAGGACAGTGGGGGTCGGGGCTGGCTGTGGCATCTCACAGGGCATCCCAAATCCTGCAGCAATCCTCCAGGAAATCCACAGCCACGTGAGCAACAGCTCTTGGAGCTGAAATAACCTCAGGAAGAGCAACTGGGAGTTACAGGGATTTGGAATTGAAATCTGGAGAGGGACTGGGGACAAGGGACGGAGGGACAGGACACAGGGAATGGCTTCCCAGTGCCAGAGGGCAGGGACAGATGGGATGCTGGGAAGGAATTGCTGGCTGGGAGGGTGGGCAGGCCCTGGCACAGGTTGGCCAGAGAAGCTGTGGCTGCCCCTGGATCCCTGGGAGTGTCCAAGGCCAGGCTGGAGCAGCCTGGGACAGTGGGAGGTGTCCCTGGGGTTGGACCTGGATGGGCTTTAAGGTCCCTTCCCACCCAAACCATTCTGCCATTCCATGAAGGTGCCTGGTGGCACCTCTCTGGCCATTCCCATGGGATAACAGCAGCACTCCTGCTGTGCCAGGGCAATCCCTGCCCCGTGGATCCACCTGCACTTCCACAGGCACCTCACCCCGCTTTCCACCCGCTGCAGGATCCTCCGGAGCTCGGAGCAGCTCCTGTGCCTGTGGCAGGGCAGAGCTGTGCCCTCCCAGGCCAGGCAGTGGATCAGCTGTGCTGAGCTGATCCTGGATTCCCTGTTCCCGCAGGAAGGACACGGACACACCATCCAGACCCTGCTGGCCCTCGGCGCCGACATCCAGGCCAAGGACGGGAAGGGCCGTTCCGGTAAGGAAGGAGCTGCTCCTGCCCCCAACACCTTCCATAGGGGCTCCCCAACCTCCAGGGCACCCCGTGCCGTGCCTGCCCAGCAGAGCACACAGGGAGATCCCAAATCCATGGATCCCAAAGGCTCTGGGAGCAGCGTGACATGACGTGAAAACAGGGTTTGGTTTTGGTTCTTTTTTTTCCCGGTTTTCATTCGCTAATTTTCTCCTTGCTGGAATTCCTGGTGCCTGGCTTGGGGCTTTTCCCTTGGGGAAGAACAGAGTTGTTCCTTGGGGGAAGAGCAGGGATGCAAACCAGGCTTTCTCTTTATCCACCTCCTTGTTTTTCCCCACGAGACTTCCCAGAGCTTCCATTCTCCGCCTCGCTGGAATTTGGCTGGAATGGGCCTGTCTGGAGCAGGTTGGGGGACAAGTACAGGGATTTCAGGAGCTCTCCAAGCCTTGATTTCTCAGCAAACAGCCCAGAAATGGCTCATGAGCAAATAATAACGCAGGGCTGGGACGTAAATAGAGTTGCCATAGCGATGCCGGAGTCGGCATTCCCGGCGGGAGAGGCTCCGACAGCTCTTGCTGCAGCATCTCCCTCTCGGGAACAAACCCCACGGAAATGGCCTCGGCCACTGCCAAAACTGGCAGCTCTGAACCAGTCCTGAGGTTGGGTTAAAAACCCCTGGGGGGCATCTCCCCATGCAGCCCCTCCCAGAGGGAATCCCGGCTCTGCCCAGCTCATCCAGCCCTGGGAGGTTTTCCATGGCTCCAGGTGCTGTGCCTGTGTCACTGTGTCCTTGGGAAGCTCCTCATCCATCCCCACTGGCACCTGCAGGGATTATCCACGGGGATCAGGATGCACATGGGATCACACATGGGGAAGACGGGTTCTCCAGGGAGCTGGTGGATTCCCATCCCTGGGAACACCCCGGGCCGGGTTGGGCAGAGCTGGGAGCCCGCCGGGATAGGGGAAGGTGCTGGGGTTGGAATGGGCTGATCCTGGGGTGGCTCCCAGGCCATTCCCTGGATCCCAAGGCCGTGCCATCCCCAGCCCTGCACGCTGGGATAGGGAAAGGTGCTGGGGTTGGAATGGGCTGATCCTGGGGTGGCTCCCAGGCCATTCCCTGGATCCCAAGGCCGTGCCATCCCCAGCCCTGCACGCTGGGATAGGGAAAGGTGCTGGGGTTGGAATGGGCTGATCCTGGGGTGGCTCCCAGGCCATTCCCTGGATCCCAAGGCCGTGCCATCCCCAGCCCTGCACGCCGCCGTGGCGGGGCAGCGGGCGGGGGCCGCGCGGCTCCTGCTGCGCGCCGGGCTCCGGGACGGCGCCGACGGCTCGGGAACGCTGGCTCGGCAGCTCGCCAGGAAGCCACAGGTCATCCAGGCATTCCAGGAGTCCCAGGGCACCACGTGAGACACGAGGAACCAGAGCAGCCCCCGTGGGAGTTCCACGCGGTGCGTCTGGTCACGGAACGAGGTTCGGATTGAGGGAGTGATCTCTGAAATGGTGGGATTTTCCCCCAAAATGGAGTGGAGGAGCCAAGCTTGGCGCTGGGGAGGGAATGGAATAAATGTGATAAATATAATATTAAATGGGATTGCTCAAACAAGATCATGGGTGGGATGGGGATGGGCTCTTCCCTGGGAGGGTGGGGAGGTCCTGGCACAGGTTTTCCAGGGAAGCTGTGGCTGCCCCATCCCTGAAAGTGTCCCAGGCCAGGCTGGAGCAACCTGGGATAGTGGGAGGTGTCCCTGCCCATGGATTGAGTTGATCTTTGAGGTCCCTTCCACCCCAAACCATTCTGTGATTGTGTCCCACTGCTGCCCCATCGCTGTAAATTCATGGCTCTTCTTCCTTCACTCCCGAATTCCAGGGCTGAACCTTCTCCCAGAGCATCCAAACAGCTGAGGCTGCAGCTCCCTGCAGGAAAAATACCCAAAGGAGATGATGCCACCTGATGGGACCTGCGTGGCTCCTGCTGGGACGTTTCCACACCACGGCCATCCCAAAGGAGAAGATTCATCTGGAATGTTGGGTCTATGACCCTTCACGGACCTGTTTTCCACTCACCTCTTTAATTGTTTTCATTTCCATCTCTGGACTGGGACAAGGACAGGGGATCTTCAAGCTGCATCGACCTCTTATATCCTTTTGGAGCCCCAAGCTGATCCCAAATGTTGCTGAAATCCAGAGTGGGATCTCAGCCTTGCAACAACATTGAGGGTGTTTGGATCAGGCTGGAAAAAAAGGAGCTGGAATTGTAAATTCCATAGAAACATGGAATGCCCTTGTTTATGCATAATCCCAAGGGGGAAAACCAACGGGATTCTGCTTTTTTGGGGTAGGAGAGGTCCCAAATCAGGCAGGGACTGAGCTGAGAGGTCTTGTCCCTCCATCTGTGGAGAAGGAGCTTCTTCAGCAGGAGGAAAAACGAATCCATGCTGAAGGTACTGCTGGGTGGTGGCAGCTGGATCAGCCCCTGGCTGGGCAAGGGAGTGCTTTTATCCCTCCAAAAATCCTGGATCGTTCCAGGGATCTGTTCCTGGCCTCCATACCAACCTGGGAAGTGCAAGGGGCTGCCTCATCCCACAGAATTCCCCCAGGGAAGAGCCCTTCCCATTTTCTGGCTGGTTGGGCTGTGGTCACTCACATCGAGGTGGGAGCTGAGGAGTCAGGACACCTTTGTGTCCGTGGGAATGTTGCTGGGAAGGGCTTGGCAGGGCCAGGCTCTGTGTGTGCAAATCCCATTCCCAAATCTGGGCTTTGGGTGGGAAAGGACCTTAAGGATCATCCAATTCCACGGGCAGGGACACCTCCCACTATCCCAGGGTGCTCCAGCCTGGCCTTGGACACTCCCAGGGATCCAGGGGCAGCCACAGCTTCTCTGGCCAACCTGTGCCAGGGCGTGCCCACCCTCCCAGCCAGCAATTCCTTCCCAATCTCCCATCTGTCCCTGCCCTCTGGCACTGGGAAGCCATTCCCTGTGTCCTGTCCCTCCATCCCTTGTCCCCAGTCCCTCTCCAGCTCTCCTGGAGCCCCTTTAGGCCCTGCAAGGGGCTCTCAGGTCTCCCTGGAGCCTCCTCTTCTCCAGGTGATCCCCCCCAGCTGTCCCAGCCTGGCTCCAGAGCAGAGGGATCCAGCCCTGGGAGCAGCTCTGGATTTGCTCCAGCAGCTCCACGTCCTCCTGTTGTTGTGTGGGGTGACACTGAGGCTCAGGGGCTGCAGATGCTGCTCCTCATCCCATCTCCCGGCCTTTTCTCAGGTTATGGAATCGTGGAATCGTTCAGGCTGGAAAAGCCCCCTGAGCCCATCGAGCCCAACCATCCCCAGCACTGCCAGGTCCCACTGACCACGTCCCCAAGAGCCACATCCAGGTGTCCTTTAAATCCCCCCAGGGGTGGGGATTCCACCACTCCTCCCATAAATCCCCCCAGGGGTGGGGACTCCACCACTCCTCCCAGGCTTTCCTCGGGTTGGTGGCCACGTATCCCTTTGGGATGTGCCTTTTCCTACCTCTTAGGAGCTGGTGGTGATTTCCACCCCATCCTGTTCTTCCCCTTCTCTGTGAGCTCCAAGGATTCACCCTCTGGTTGTGTCCCAGTCCTGGTGTCCCTGGTGGATGTGATCCCTGGTGGATGTGATCCAAGAGCTGGAGGAGCTGGCCTTGGAGCAGCTCCACCAAGTGCTGTGTCCTGTCCTTCCTCATCCAGCCCTTCCAGCTCATCCTCACCCACATTCCAGCTGCACACAGACATTCCTCGAGCCCTCCACTCCCATCCCAAGCTGACTTTCCCAGTGAGAATTCCTGGTGGCTGGTGCGGAGCAGCGGCTGTTCCTTCACCCGTGGACCTTCTCCATGGATACTGAAGAGGTGGGAAGCCTTTCCCTGCTGCTTGGCCACCAGAAACGAGGCATCTCCAAAGGATCCATCTCCTCATCTGTCTCTCCAGCTCCTTCCCAGCGAGGGATTTTGGAGCTCTCCACCGTTCCCAGAGTCCTGGCAGAGACAGGGAATGCAGCCCTGGGATCAAGTTAAGAGGTCTCAGGGTTCCTAATCCACGTCCCAGAGAGCCATAAGCAGCTTTTCCGCCTTTTCTGTGCCCTCTGTGCCCGTGCTCCCTGCCCGTGCTCCTGATCCAGGGGGTGTTCCAGCCCCAGCAGGGCATTCCCGCCCCCTGAGGGGCAGGGGGTGCTGGAGGATTTCAAAACCCTCTGAAATGCAGGGAAAAGCTCAGCCCTTCGGGATAACCAGGGGGTTGGGTGTGGATAGGAGGGATCTGGGGGGGATTTTCCACACGGAATGTGGTCCTGGGGGGGGAGGAAAAGGGGGTTTGGGGGGAAAGGGGGGAAATCCCAAACCTGCATTTGGGAAGTAGAAATACCCTGGAATGATAATTGTTTGTCCCGAGATTGAGAGCCCCTCCCTAAACTGAGAGACCCCCAAATGGAGGATCCCCCTGCATTGAGGGACCCCCTAAACTGGGAGACCCCCAAATGGAGGATCCCATTGAATTGAGGGACCCCCTAAACTGGGAGACCCCCTAAATTGAGGGACCCTCCCAAATGAGGGACCCCCTAAATTGAGATCCCCCTAAATTGAGGGACCCTCCAAACTGAGGCCCCTCCTTAAAGTGAGGATCCCCCTAAATTGATGGACCCCCCTAAATTGAAGGACCTCCTTAAATTGAGGGACCCCACAAATTGAGGGATCCCCCAAACTGAGGACCCCCCCTAAATTAAGGTACCTCATCCTGAATTAAGGACCTGCCAAATAGAGCATCCCCCGCACCCCTAAACTGAGGACCCCCCAAATTGAGAAGCCCCCCTAAATTAAGGACCCTCCCAAATTGATGACCCCCCTTAAATTGAGACATCCTCCCCTAAATTGAGACATCCTCCCCTAAATTCTGGACCCTGCCCCCAAA